TAGATGTTGGTTTGTGCTATAGTGTACTTCAGGCACATCAGTCACCCTAGTAGGTCAAGCATGATGATTCATCATCAATAGCTGATTTTGCTTTTCAGTGAGAAGTAAAATAGAGATCAAATCCAAAAACTTAGTGAACTTCTGAGCCTTGTATTGTTGCTGCATGATAATATTGATAACAAAGAAAGTCGAATAGGTCATCTCCAAGAGATCCTATTCGGTCAAGTTCGAGTTACAGAACTTGAGAAGTGATCGCATTCGACAAACTTCAAAATTATATTCATTCATAGACTTAAAGTCTTGGAAATGCAGATGCTGTCACTTATGTCTTGCTTAAGGCAAGAAGATGTCCTTTTGGTGATCAAATTGATCAACCAAAGCGACCTAAAGTGCTTGTGGATCTTCCTCAACAAGGTACTCGGTTTGCAGTGCGTCATGAATGTGTCTTCGAATGAAGATCATGGCGGTGACTTTCTCAACTTTGTCATTTGAGTTGTCCGTCTTATCTTCAATAGTGGGGCGCAAATTCTTTGGGGTGAGGTGGAGCTTCACATCTTGGACCCACTTAAGGTAGTTTCTTCCAGAGACCTCTAAAGTTGTGAAGTCGAGTTTGTTCAAATTTGACATGTCCTTATCACAAAATAAATGGACAAAAGTGTGGTTAGTGTAATGGAGAAAAAATCGATCTATTCACATAGGAGTAGAACATTCAGGTTCTACTAGACATTTATTGCTTTAAAGTTACAAAAAAAACTGCGGGTTTTCATGGGTGATGTTTTTAAGGAAAACTTCAGGTTTCAAACGAGGCATGTTTCTAGAAACTTGGGGCTTCGAAAGAATTATGAACTTCAGGTGCATATGTTCCTGCAGACAAACACAAATATATTCACAGAAATATGCAATAAGAAAATATGCAAATAGATCTTCAGGGTTTATCATTATAATTGGATTAATTATTTGGACTTCGGGCCAAAATTAAAGTGTGGGTGAAAAGTTATAAAACCCAAAAAATGCCTAAAAAATATAGCGATCAAATTTGGGGCGCAAAAATATGGACTAAAGCCTACATGTGGGCTTAAAAAAATTGTTGTTGTGGGGTCTAGGCCTAAAAACTGGGCATGGGTAGCAACTAGCAAGCTAGGGGATGCACGCCCAAGGACAGAGGGCCAAATGGGGCTCTGATCTGGTGTTACACGGTCGCAGATACACCAACACAAGGTGGAGATCTGGTGCGACGTGGGGCAGGGAGACACCAAAGCCCACTTGGGTTGATGTTGTTCGCGGGCCGGGCTTGGGCGATAAGCCCGTGAGCACAAAAGTGGGTTGCAATTGCAGGCCAGATGGCAAATGCCCAAAATAGGGGTGCCAATCTTGTGCAGTGTGGTATAATGATGCTGCAGCCATTATAGGGTTGGGCTTAGGTGTGGTGGGAACATCATGGCCAAGGAGGCTGGTGTTGGGCCAAGAAGAGTTCAAAAGCCCAAAAGGCTAGGTGCTCACTGAGAACAAGGCAAGCCTAAATGGGCTTGGGTGTCGAACTAGACATCCCAGCTCAAGCTGGCTGAACTCGCAAGAGAAGGAGACCGGTACCACCATTGCAAGCGGTTGTGTCGTGGCACAAAAAATCACGGCGAAGGCCACGAATTTGATGGCAACTATAAAATTGAACAAAGAGTGAAAAACTCTGAACGTTCTACAAACCCTAGAAATATTCGATTGGAATTTCAACGAAAAATCGTCAAATTTCGGTCAAGGACTCGTCGGTGACGACTTCAGGTCTTCCGAGAGGTAACTATGGTGGCTGGGTATGACTGCAGGCCATTTCACGACGGTTCAATAGGTGCGATGCCATCTAGGCGTCGGGTTTTGGGTCTGGGCCTGGAGCCATGGCTCCATGATTGGGTTTCTTGGCTCGGGGAAGGGAGCCTGGCAACACAACTTCGAGTCGTCGCACGCTAATTTCCAATGAAATCCTAATTTTTTTTTTTTTGTAATTTTTAATTCAATTCCAGATTAATTCAATGCATATTCAACATATAATTTAATGCATGAGCAGATATTAGATGCAATTCATGGCAATATCGATTCACATAATTCAATAATTATGGATATAATGCATACATAATTTATGTAGAATCTAAAATTCGAAAAATGTAAAGTTGGGTTATGCATTATGGCGAATGGTCATGCTATCAAGGCTGCAAAAATATCGAGATAAAAATCGTTGTTTTTGAAGAACCTGATTGCATGATGATATTGATGAACTGATTTGATGCAGAAAACTTCTACGTCAGATTCCTAAGCGCAGCGGTGAGAGCGTGCTGATAACGTGTTGTGGCTTATTTTAATTTGACATGGGAGAAGGGGCACAGTAGAGAGAGTAGTGAGAGATGTGTTTGTAGGGTTGTGTTATTCCCCCAATATCTTTATTTATAGTAATAAGGGAGGGAATAATCCTTCTCCTCCAAGGAATACAAGTCCTAATTGGGAGGAATAATTAGTATGAAATCTAATTTAGAATTTACACAATCACACTTAAATACAATGTTTATAGCATGTTTTAGTTTTTTAAAATAAAAAAAATTGAAAACAAAATGATGGTCAAATTCTTTTAGCTTTTTTTTTTTTTTTTTTTTTATTTTTTTATTTTTTAAATCGTACAAGCCACTTGTTATCTTTATGTACTTGACCCATTTTCAATGATTAAAGCTCTTTACTTTGTAAGGACCTCTCATTCTAATGGTCCAGAGGTAGCTTAAGTCATATTACGAATGCCTACCGTTCAATGAGGACCATGTAAGTCAATTACATGTTCTTATCTTGTTGGCTGTGTTTATCAATTTCCTTGATATAAAACGCAGTAGAGATATACCTCGTGTAACACGTCCAGAGAGGACTGGGCCGTTGGTTAGGATATTCCTATATCAGTACTGGTATAAATACTGATTAGCTGATCGGGATCTTAGCTTCTGCTAAAGGGAATACAAGAAGATAGGACTTTGGAGATGAAAAGATTTCTGAATTTCTATACATTTTTAATTAGTATATAAGAGTAAAGAGGAGTTTTGACCCTTGAGACTGTCAGTTACAGCATGATGCCTTGATGGAGTTTGCTGCAGCCTTTACTTCTCATGTAGCTATCCAACCGTTTGATATATATATACACATTGTTTTTTTTTCCTTTCTGGTAATCATTTTAAGTTTTCTTTTTTTTTTTTGATTTCAAAATCAAGCGAATTATTGAAATCTCTACGTTCATGCCTTTTCCTTTTTTATTTTTATTTTTTCTTCTTCTCTTTTCTCATTCATCAATTATACATAACAAAATATACATACCACTTCAGTATCAAAACCTAGTATATTGGGCCTCCCGATATGGACACGGTCGTTCGACTCTTGCAATGACAACGGATCCGATCCGAGCCCCCCCCCCCCCCCCCCCCCCCCCGGAACCCTCTAATTAACCAGCCTCAAGGCCTAACGTCTCAAATCCACTGATAGTTTATCCTAACTCTGAAAAACACTATGAATTTTTTGTTGCATGTTATTTCATTCTATAACCTAAATTTGACAATTTTAGCCTAATAAAAATTCATTTCAAAGTTTCATATAAAATTAAGATTGCAAATAGTTACCAACAACTTTTAACAAGTGTGTACGAAGAGGTCAAAGAGGGACAAACAAGAACACTAGAAGAACCACATTCCAACTAAAGAGGGACAAAGTCATCCAAGCAAGCAAGAATACTAGAAGAATCACATTCCAGCCAAAATGTATGCCAACCCATTTGATAAGCATAATCAACATCAAGAATAATTGTTAACAATTCCACAAAAAATGATTTTTGATGACGAATACCCTGATAAAAACAACCAAGAAATTGGCCATGCCAATCCCGAAAAACTCTCCCACAAGCAGCATGACCTTGATTACCAAAAGAGAAAAATAATATTCCGCTAAAACGAAGGGCAAATAAATAGAGTGCAAATTTGCTCACTCGAGCTGGTAACGCAACAACCCTTTTTAGTCGCAACATGTGGCCGTGGCTTGACCGAGTAGTTTTACTTTTTTATATATAACAAAATAAAATAATAAAATAGCAATTCTTTCCTAATTTGTTCCCCTCAAATCTTGGAATTTTTTTATCATGAATACTACTACTTTTTAACAGAAATAGTAAGTTATGAGACTATTTTCTATTTGGACTAGTTTGGATAACGTATGGCTTGATATAAGGATGGTCTACACAACTGATTTTGATTTTCTAGTCCAATTGGTCCGTACATACATGACTAAATAGTAAGTTATGAGAAGAAACTATATTGCAATCTTGAATGCTAATTTCAAATAATTAAGAAAATGTCACCTGGACAAGTTGTAAACCTGATGATGAGCCTCGAATCTCACTTAAACGTGAATCATGTCCTAGAGTCTGCTAAGATAAAAAAAAAAATGATAATTAGACTAACACTCTTTTTAGTATAAATAGACTAATAGAAAGATTTGTGAAAAATAATTCCCAGCAAAAGTTAGACGTCCTAGCAAAAGTTAGACGTTTGACAAAAGTTTCTTGTTATGAAGTTCAAAAAGTGAGCTGGTTTTTACACGCCTTTCTTTATTTATAACCATCAAATTGAAGGGTGGGTAAGAGGAGAAAAAATGTATGTTTTTATCATTTTTCATCTAAAAACTATAAAAAGAAAAAAAAAAGCATTGAATTGATTTTTTATTTTTTAATAAACGATATAATCTATACTAAGGGGTGGGATAATGGCCTAAGCCTCACAATGAGTTAGTAACAATATAGTTCAAATTCATTTTTGGCGAAAATTGAACATAAGACCTCTCACTTACAAGTGAAGATGAATACCATTAGACCGTAGTATTAAGTGTCTACATTGGATTGATTATTAGGTGCCGATGAGAAGGTTGCCACACGTTTTGTATAAATAGTACAAGATCAAAGTTAGCTTTCACTACACAAAACTAAGGCTTCAAAACTGGGCTCTTTCCTAGTCTTTGGTAAATACTAAAGAGAGATGATGAGTTCAGTAGAACAAGCAACCAAAAAAGGGCATGCAGTTTTCATCCCATACCCAGCACAAGGCCATGTTAACCACATGATGCAATTAGCCAAGATTCTTCACCCAAGGGGTTTCCACATAGCCTTTGTCAACACCGAGTTTAACCACAACTGTTTAATCCAGTCAAAAGGTCCCGATTCCGTTAAGGGTCTACCGGACTTTGTGTTCGAGACCATACTGGACGGGTTGCCTTCTTCGTATAAGGATGGAACCCAAGATATTCCAGCTTTATGTGACTCCATTAAGAAAACTTGTTATGGTCCATTTAAAGAGTTGGTCACTAGGATAAATTCCTCACCTCAAGTGCCACAAGTTACTTGCATAGTTGCAGATGGTGTGATGACCTTTGGGAGCGAAGCTGCTAGAGAATTAGGCATTCCGGAGGTTCAGTTATGGACTGCCCCTGCTTGTGGCTTCGTGGGGTACTTTCATTTCAGCGAATTCGTCAAACGTGGCATTATTCCATTCAAAGGAACTTCTTTAATTTCTGGACCATTTGTTTTTTCACTCTTTTGTCGCATATATAATTTGATGTATATGAACATTTTTGTATGCACAAATTATCGTGACACACTCGGAAGATTTGACTCCTTAGTCTTTCGTATGTCCCGTCTTATATTCCTGCGTTTCTTTTGATGTATTATTAATTCATGGGGCTTATAGGTACAGGTCGTGTTTTCCATTGCTTTTAGATCTAGTCCAGTATCACATCAGACTACTAATAAAAACGGTCGAAACAAATAAACAGGTTGCCATATAGAGTATGTAAATGGGTTTAATTTTGTCCACAATCAATGTTTGTAATTAAAGATGTAAAAGAGAAGAAAATTTGCATTTTGACCTTTTGGATCTGTTAAATGGAATTAGCATATGCCAACACAAAGTGTGTGAACTTTTTTATTTTTGTTTTTAAAATGGAATATGAGAGAGAGAGAGAGAGAGAGAGAACGTGGGAGTGGGTAGAGAGGAGAGAGAGGCTTATTTTTTATTTTTTAATTTTTTTTTGATAGAAAAGGAAATAAAATTAAAGAGAAAAGCTCATAGGGCAACCAGTTTGAGTACAATAAAAAAGTAACGCTTGGGAGGCTTCCCAAGGAATAAACTTATCCCAAACATGAAAATCAGAAACCGTAAAACCAATAACAGCATCAGCCAAAAAATTTGCTTCCCTAAAGACATGATTCAAGCAAATCTCTGAGAACGACTCAACTAGCCAACAAATATCTTCAAGAATGGTCCTCAGTCTCCAAGAGGGGTTATAGTTACCCCTAATAGCCTCTCTCACCAATTTTGAATCACCCTCCACCATGATACAGGACAAACCTTTGGCTTTAGCTAACCAAAGGCCATCTCACAAAGCAAGGCATTTAGCAATAGAAATCATGTTTTGGCTAGTAAATCTAGCCCCCACAGCAATAGTATCCCCCGACTCATTCCTAATCACAAAACTGAAAGCTGCACCTTAATCCACCACAGTGCCATCAAAGTTGAGCTTAACAAAACCTACATCAGGTGGCCGCCATCGAATAGTAGAGTAATGGGGAGATGTGTTACCATTTTGACTTACATGGCTTAAATTATTGGAGTCAATAAACTCCTTTCTAAGATTAAGCGCAGCCTTAACAATCCAGGAATTGTTTGGCATTCTGAAAAACCACCTGATTTCGTTCCTTCCAGATTTGCTAACAGATGAGTAACGTTTTACCAAGATCACACATACCTGCATCAATCCTAAACTCAAGATCATTAAGCCAATCAATAAAGTGAAGATTTTGGTTTAACCTTATGGAGTTAGGAATAGCTTGACCATTCCAGATTAATCTTGCAAAATTACAATTCACGAATAAATGGGTTCTATTCTCTTCCTCATCATTGCACACAGCACAAGAGGAAGGAATATTGTTGACAAACCTGGATAATCTGCCTCTTGTATGCAATCTTCCTAAAATAAGAAGCCAACTAAACATCTTAACTTAGTGAGGGATCTTAAGTTTCCACATTTTTTTAAGAAGCCCACTAACATTATTATTATTATTATTGTTTTGGATCCAAGTTGTTGACTTAATCGAAAACTTACCATTCGCATTAGGACCCCAACAAAACACATCATCTTGAGCCATCATAGGGAGAGGAATGCTGCATATCTTTACCACAACTTCATTATCAAGTAATTGGCTCAACCAACTCTTATCTTATTGAAATAACTCACTTTCAAGTTGTAATCAATATCACCCAAGTTACTGGCCGGGATCAAGTTGGATAAGGGGAAAGGAAAAACCCAATTATGGGTCCAGAAGCAGATGCTCTCACCATTTCCGACAATCCACCACATCCTCAAATTAAGAATATTCCTAGACCTAAAATACCTTTCTAGGCACACGAGTAGTGTTGCCTAACTTTAGCTTTAAGGAAATCCTCTCTTTTTAGATATTTATTCTTAACAATTTGAACCCACCAATTTTGACTATTTGTTAAAATTTTCCCACCAAGCTTAGCTAGACAAGCATTATTGAAATGACTACTTGTCCTAATTCCCATACCTCCAGTATCTTTAGGGCTACACACTTTATTCCAGGCCTTAGGGACAAGCTTACTATCTTTTCCCCACAAGAACCTCCTACTTTTTCTATCTAAAGTTTCAGAAACTTTCTCAGGACACTTAAAACAAGACATATTACGATTGGGAACACCTAGCAGGATAGCCTTGATAAGAGTTAGTCTTTCAGCTTTAGAGAGGGTGTTTGTTTTCCAGCCAGCTAACTTATTCTTTATTTTGATAATAAGCTCTTTGGAATTAACTTGGTCCTTCCATAAAATAATATTATGGATACCTAAATATCTGCCAATCGTGGTTTTATGTTGAATAGCAAGAATATTAACAATGTTAATCCTAATGTTGTTAGGGGTGTTGTTAGAAAAATAAAGAGAAGACTTATGAAAGCTTAGCTTTTGGCCAGAAGCTTGGGCAAAATTATCAAGAACTCTAGTTATATTCCTAGCTGTAGTGCCATTAGCATGAGAAAAAAAAAATCAAACAATTATCCGCAAACATCAAATTAGAAATTCTATGGCCTCTAGGCGCAGTCAACATACCAACATTACTTTTAGGTGAGTTTCCTAACTTATCTAAATGTCTAATTAAGGGCTCCATATAAAGGATGAAAATATAGGGGGATAGGGGATCACCTTGTCTAAGGCCTTTGGACAAGCGCAAAAACCCAAAAGACTTACCATTAATAATTACCGAAAAAGACACTGATGTAATACACTCTATGATCAACCTGATCCAATGATCATTGAAGCCAAACTTAGCTAACACTTCCTTAATATAATCCTACCTGAGAAAATCAAAAGCCTTTTCCAGATCAAGCTTAATGGCCATAACACCCTTCCTACTTCTTTAGCCTTAAAACAGGCAAAGATTTCATGAGCTATAAGAATGTTATCCTGAATGGATTTTCCAAGAGCAAAGGCCCCTTGGTTTTTAAAAATGCAACTGTCTAACAAAGGCTTAATTCTACTCACCAAAATTTTGGTAATTATCTTATTGGTAACATTGTAACTGTCTAACAAAGGCTAATTGGTCTAAAGTTGGCAACCACTTCAAGGTTCTCCACCTTTGGGATAAGTGCAATAGTGGTATGATTTATCATATGAAGGCTTGGGCCATTTAAGAAAAACTCTTTAACCAAATTAACCACACATGGGCCAATTATTTCCCAGCAGTTATGATACAAAGAAGCATGAATACCATCCAGTCCTGGAGCCTTCAAGGCTCCAATGCTTTTAACCGCCTCAAACATTTCAACATCAAGAATGTGCTTATTAAGGTTATCATTCTGCTCATTACTTATACAAGGAACAAGGATATCAATGAAGCTCGCTAGATAATCTTGAGAAGGTCTTATAGAAGCCAAAAATCTAGATTTGAAATCCTCAATGATTACTCTCTTCATGCCTTCACCCCTTCTCCACCAATTGCCTTGATTATCCTTAATTCTACAAATTTCATTCCTTTTCCTTCTCACATTAGCCACCGTTTGGAAATATCTAGAATTCCTATCATCAAGTTGCAGCCAATTGGTTCTAGCTTTTTGGGCCAAGAATAATTCTTCATTCTTAAGAACTTCATTAAGTTGATTCTTGATCTACATTTCCTTAACAAACAGGCTATTAGAATTAGGGTTATTCATAATCTCGTCCTGCACTTTATTTAAATCCCACAGCAGACTCTTCTTTCTCTCGAATAAATTCTCAAATACCTCTTTATTCCAGTTATTGACTAGAAACTTAAAAGTCCCTAAGTAACCTCTTATTTTCTCACACTCACTGCCATTAATAGTCTGATCCTAAGCCTTCCTAACAACACTTTTAAAACCCAGATGAGAAAGCCACATGGCCTCAAATTTAAAAGTGCAAACCCCCAAATTGTTACTACTTTTGAGATAATTGGTCAAGAAGAATAGCACTATGATAAGACCCAAAGATAGGGTAGTTATGAAGATTAGCATTTGGAAAAAAAATTAATCCAGTTCATATATCCAGTCTTTCAAAGATAACAGTATTATCCTTATGACCATTACATCGAGTAAACGGTACACCAGTAGTAGAGATTGAAATTAAATTTCCCTCATTAATAAAATTATTAAAATTAACCATATGCTCACTAACATTCCTATCACCCCAAATTTTTCTTCCAAGTTAACAATGTTATTAAAATCGCTTATCAGCAACCAAGGAAGAAGAAGATTATTACTAGGAAATAAAGAGGTAATTTCGTTCCAAAGTTGGGTTTGAAGACTTTTCTGGGGGTACACATAGACACAAGTAAATAAGAATTGCTTATCTGAGCATTTTTCAGTGACTTCACAGTGAATAAATCTAGGATTGTGGCAATAACATTAATATTAATATTAAAAACATTCCAACATAAACAAAGACCACCTGCCCTACCATCCCCTCTAGCAAAAAAACATATTACTGAACCGCTTAGACAATTTGGCACTTAGACCTCTATCCAGGTCGGACTTCGGTTCAACCAAACAAAAAATATCTAAAATATTTAAATTACAGAGAAAATTAAACTGGATGGCAAATTCGGGCCTGCCCTAGCCCCTACAATTCTAATGCATCAACTTCATCCAGGTTGTAGCTCGAACCCTCTCAATTTTTAGCTTCACTCTTATCCTCTTCCTATTTCCCTCCATCTGAAATTCCTTAATCACACCGTCTTCTGTTTCCATGAAAACATCATCTCCAGCCTCAAGATCAGTAACTTCATTTACGCTTTTTCCCTTACTATTACTGCCATTACCCAACTCATCACCAACAGTCTTGCCACCTACGGTTCCAAACCTACACCCTCCATCAGCCACCAAGCACCATTTAGACACCAAGTTAGCCCTCGACACCCAGGTTATATTGCCCCTAACAACATTATCTTAGCTTCTTCGATCCCTACAAGAAACGTTTGTCCCCCTACTATTGTTTATACCTCTCCTCATAGAAACATTAGACCACCTCTTATCTTCCTCATGCAGCTCTTGAACATTTGCCCTTCGAGACAGACCGTCACCATCCAAATGACCAAACTCATCCACCAAGGTAGGTTAGGGAAACAACAGCATAACCCCTTCCTGAAGATCATTCTTAGTCTCCTCATTGACTGGGAAGTTCTCTGGGCAAATCACCGGCTCATCCTCGAAAATCCTATCCACTAGCAAGCACCCATCATTATCAAAATTTGCAGGATATGGGTGCATCTCAGAGCGCATCTGT